ATAGTTAAATGCTTTCTGGAGAGGACTGCTTATTCCCTTGCCCCTCATATTCGCCTAAAGGGGAGGAGACTAAGCTTCATCCCAAGAAGGGTACAGAATTGGAGTGAACCCTGCCAGCCCAACACCTTACTCAATTCCCTGCATGGAAAGAGGAGTTGGTTAAACTGGTTAAACTGGTTAAAGATTATCAGAATTTGATATCCATGAGGCTTTATTTACCAGGGCATAGAAATCGCCTTGAGATAAATTTGGCTCATTATCTTGCTAAGGTGTCTCTTTCTCTCTCTCTCCCTCTCCCTATTTGTATGTGTGTCTGCTGTTCTCCTTTTGTGTATGTGTGTCTGTTTGGATCTATTTCTGATCTCCTCTCTTTCTTTTGACCTATTCTTTGCCAGGAAGCTCTCAATGGAGTGTTGTCCTTTCTACTTCTCTTCTACAAGTGTTCATGTAATAAACTCACTGGGAAAAGTCTCCCTGTCATTCTCCTCAGTTCAGTAAGAGAAGAATAGGGAATCATGTATTGCCCTCAGGCCCTGCCCATTTTCCAATCCAGTTTTCCAGGGAACCTTCAATTCAGGTAATTAATACAGTGACTTGCATCCCATCTGACTTCCTGGTCTACTCTCAACTGATCTGAGTCTGTCAGAGCAGCTGTAACTTAAATAGCACCCCACTCCCCAAATTCCAGCAGTGTTCTTTTACTTCTTTTGTGTGGTGATATATTAAATATACCACCCTATCGGATTAATGTAAAAGGTATATCAGTAAGTTTAGATGTTTATTCAAAGAAGGGTATGTGTGGTTAGGACATATTCTTGTTTTATTTCATTTAACACTGTAAATTGCTCAGTATAAAATATATTCTAACAGAGTTAGCTCAGGAAACAATCCGAATGAGCATTTAAATTCCTGGGATCCATAACATCCTCACCAGCTCAAACCTGTTGAAACAATCAAAAGCCAGTGACTTGTAAAAAGGCTTACATGGCTATTGTTTTTTTCAATTAGATGAGACTAAATGTAGTTTTGGACAGTAGCATAGTAGTTGTATGTACACTCGCCTTTTCCTCATACGACATGTTCGACTGAGAGACTTGAAGTTTGTTCAGGAAGAATCTGTCCTAGGATTTTAAAGGAACCTTCAACAAACTAATGGATCTCTAACTTGAGGATTGCCCTTTTTATGAATAAAATAAACTATATTTCAATCCATTCCTAGGTAATTATCTCTGAGGGACAAAAAGTGCAAACAGCTTTACAGAAATTGTCCACCACTTTCCAACTGTAATAGGATTTAAACTGAGTGGTGAAGATTCTGAAGATCCTCCCTGTAATGACTGAAGTTGTTAGGTCACAGCTAGAGAGAATTTGAGGAGTTGCAAGACAAAAGGTGACCCACAGGGGGCTGTAAAATAAAGAGAGCTTTGTAAAGAGGCCATCAGAAGAATTGGTACTTCACAGTTTGCAGACTAAATTCTTTCTTCTGAATAGTTAAGTGGTTGAATCTACTTTCTTTTCATCCTTAATTACTGGACCTGAATTGTTTTTATTCTCCTCCTACTCTAGTAGAAGCCATTCACTGAGCAGAAATTACTTAGAAATCTATTGTGCTCCATCCAAATTGAATGTAAGGTTGTTCATTTTGCACTTCAGTTTCAACAAATTGATTTTTTCATAAAGTGGAACTTCTTATGGAATTAAATACTAAGTTGTAGGGCAGCAGTTGGGAAGAACGTGGACTAATCAGAGGTCCTTTGTGCTGGTTCTGAAACTTTCAATAGTTAACTTTGTGAGTTTGGACAAAAACAAAACGAAATAAAATATCACTCTAAGTTTTCTTATCTGTAAACCAAGACTTTTAAAACCCTTCCAGATTTGCAATTGCATAATTCTAATATGCAATTTCCCCACTAGAATTGAGGGAATTCTGTAATTGTTAATAAATGTCTGGAAAGCCAGGGAAGGTGTCCTGAGAGTGTGGACTTTGATTTATCTTTGTTGCTCACTAACTTTGTTTTCTAATATGTTCTCATTTATATGATTTATAAATTTGTATAGAGTTATAGCAATTTGCTTTATATTGTTTAATTCCTTGAAACAGACTGTATTGGACATTAGATTCATTAAGGATTTGTTAAATACTGATAGCAACTTTGATTATGTTTTAAGCTCATCTAGAGCTCTTACTTCTTTTTTTTTTTTTTTTTTTGAGACAGAGTCTCACTCTGTTGCCAGGGCTAAAGTGCCATGGTGTCAGCCTAGCTCACAGCAACCTCAAGCTCCTGGGCTCGAGCGATCCTACTGCCTCAGCCTCCCAAGTAACTTGGACTACAGACATGCGCCACCATACCTGGCCAATTTTTTCTATATATTTTTAGCTGTCCAATTAATTTCTTTCTATTTTTGGTAGCGACGGGGGTCTCACTCTTGCTCAGGCTGGTCTCGAACTCCTGAGCTCAAAC